GATTCTCTGCACTTCTTGAGTAAAGGATCAGTCTTGCAATGCAGTGGTTTTGTATGATGACAACTCAATTATAAAGTGCTGAATTACTAGATAAAATTTCCTTGCACTGATAATTACTGCCAAAGTTTAAGTCACCTTTAACCTTACATTTGTTAAACTTCATGGAATGAACTGTTACTGCTCTTTACAAGTCAGGTTTTTCCATACCATGAATCATCCTTGCCACTGCTGAATCTTTCAGGCTTTCCAACATCCTTTTAAAAGCAATGCTATATTATAATAGCTGTCTAGGTTATAGTTTATACAGATGTAGTGTCACCTTGCTCCTTTCATTCATTCAAGAACTCTGCAACTACTATTTGCAATGGGATCATGCTGGAGCACTTCCTCAATCCCATTGAATGGTTCTTAGATACTGTCTGGAATCAGAATTTTCCAAGTTGGGTGTTGTGTTATCCCACAGCTGTCTCTTTTCCTCTCGTCTAGGACATGACTTCATGATTGTTGAGCAAGTGCATAGTAGAGATGAAGAACACAGGATTCTTTTTTCATTTCCAAACTTACATGCCACTTGAACTTTTAAAATAGGATTGAAGATACTCTCCATTTGGTGTGCTAGGATCTACATCAAAATTACTCCTTTCCCTGTAACCTGTCCTTTCTCTGTAAGCCAGTTTCTTCTATGCATCTCCATATTTCTCCAATTATTTGTCCAGAGAATGGTAATGCTGCAGTCAGGGAGCTGTCAAGGTTAAGAGATTATGGGATCACGCTGATTTTTTTTAAGACCAGTGCTTTTCTTTGTAAGTTAGTGTGTGTTCTGGGGACTCACTTTAAAAAGTCAATTCACTAAATACATCCCTTTTACTTGGTATCACTCTTAAGCAAAAGAATTTTGTGAAACCAAGAAAAATTGGAGTATGGTTTTTCAAAATGAATGCTGTTTTCAGATCTCAATATAGTTTTGTTCTCATCTGCTTCAGACCTTACCCTTCAACACAAGCACTGCTTTGCTCTCTGTTCCTCCACCTAATTTTGTATTACCACTGCAAACTTCCCCTGCAGTGATTGCTGGTGGAAGCAGGTGCTCTGTTCTCTAACCCATTTGAAGAGTCATCCTAGTGAACACTGACAGGCTATCACTTATCCCTTTTTTCTTCTCCTTATGTCACCTATTTTTACACAGTTGTTCACTTTATCAGCCCCTTGTAGGAAGGTTTTATTTTCTTACATGCCAATTATATAAACAGGGACTTAGTCAAACAACATGCAAAAAAAGCTGCATAACACACAGTATTGCACATTGATTAGCTTTAAAATGAGTAAGTACAAATTATCACTCCATAATTTAGGGAGATTAAGGACAGTGGTTCGAGTTAGTGGGACCTTTTCATAGAGAAAAGTAACTGCACATGGTGTCTTTAGTGGAAAATATGAATTACATGTGTAAGAGCAGTACATGAAGAACCACTCTGAGTGGGCCTTTCACCCCTGAACTACTGCACTGCCATCCTCAAAGCACAAATAAATAGTGAGGAGCAGATTCAGCCAGCTGCCCACAATTGCACTTACCAGCAAGATGGCTTTATTTTCTCCAGAAAATGCTGTCCTGTGAGCAAGGACACCAAAATGAAGGTTTTTCCATGCCTAATTGTTGAGATGCATGCATGGGTGATAGAGGGGGTTGCACTGAAGTCTGGCATGTTTGCTGCAGAAAAGTGGAGATATTGTCACTACAAGTCATGATTCTGTAGAGACAGGATGGAAGTGGGATAAATGAATACAGCAACACAAACCACAAAGGGGAAAGATGGTGTGGGTGCAATCACACCCTTGCGATAGCAAATGCTGCCATCACAAAAACACAGCAACATCGCAAAGACCTGTGCAATCTCAGTTTTTCAAATGAGTTAACTGTTCATTCTTTTAGCTGCTGTTGATGTAGGATGAAAGACTTTTCCTAAAGACATTCATTTATGTTTGTGTGACTCCCTCTCAAATGCAAAGGATTGCAGTGTTGCAGTTAGAAGTAGAGCAATGTCAGTGCAGGCAGCAAGGAAGAAAGACTTTAACTTCAGTTAGAGAGGGCAAGCAATCCTTACCTCCCACTTTGCCTGTTTAAGTAAGTGTGAATCAGTAACCACCTTGACTTGCTCACTAGCATTTGTATGTCAAACACTTAAGCTAACCTTAGGGTAGAAAGAGGGTTATAGCACCATTAGTGGGACAGTAAAGTATCTCACTTCCTCAATAAAAATGCTATTGCGTATTATTTTAAGCTACTTTTATAGTTTTACAAGGTGTTGCTTCCTTTCTAATACAGACATTTCACTCCTACTCCCCGCATAAAAAATTCCTCCCTCTACTGCCATTCACCCAGTGGTAGCCTTCAGTGGTGAGGGCAGACTTGCTAGCCTCTTACTCACATTTTCTGACCTTGCTGCAACAGATTTCAACAGTTGGCAAACACTGGTGCACTGGCTGTGTTAACTACTTCAGTGCTGAGCAGTCTGCAGAGAGGCACCAGCACATCTACTGAGTTTTCAAGTAATGATTTTCTAAAGTCAAAAGTAAAAGATGCTTATACAGCTGTAAACTGATCTATTTCCTAAGCATCTTCTCAAAATCCTAGAGAGATAAATTCAGTTTTCAATCCTTGTTTTCAGGGGTAACATCCAGCCTTCTCAGGAAACTCAGATGCTGAGTCTGAAGCCACTTTCTGAACCATAGTTTCTGTAAAGATTGCTTTTTTAAAAGTAAAGTGATCTGTACTGAAGACTCTGCAGTAGATGTTCCGAATACAGTAACCTTGAAGGAAAACAAGATTATGTCTGTTACAGAGAACTCAGATACGGCAACATATTTTGCTTGATTTGTCTGGTCTCTTGGGTACATCTTGGGAACAACTGACTGAGCAAATTGAAGGCAGAAGAAGAGCTTGATACTTTTTCAGTTTACCACCAGAGGTAACTGATTTTTTTTTAAGATGGTGAAATTTTTCCAGATTTGTGAAAACATGTTTTGATATTTAGCCTTTTCAGAAAATGAGTGTTCTGAACAACAGGATAAAGCTAACATGTTGCATGGGATCTTTCCAGTAAAATACCCCAGCTTCTGTTCTTGTTATATGATAGAAGGATAAATTGAGAGAGAAACAAGCACCTTAGACATGTGCAAAGCTTTGTACACACAAATCATGTACAGTAGTGAGTCCCACTGTTTAAACAGTAGGAGAAAAAACTTGAAAAAATAATCAGAGAGATGGCAAATTATAGCTTGTGTTGCAGATTGCATGTAAGGAGAAACATCCTTGAAAAACTCACTCTGTAAAAAATGTTTGAGAAAAAAGGACAAAATCCCTACTGGCTTTTGTGGATTCCCTTTCTTCATACAGACATTTCTAATGGCTGAGTCATGCCAGTTTAATCAGCTCCTACATGCTAAATCCCCCTCTGTGCCATATTTGCTCATTACTCTGCATGCATAAGCCCCTCAGCTCTATTGCTGGCTAAATATACTTCCCTCACTGGCTGGTTTGTTTTTTGTGTGGGTGCATAAAGAGCTGTCCTAGCATAACTGATGGAATAACATAGAATTGGAAATAAATGGCAAATGCAAGAGCTCCTGAACATTTCTCTAAAGCAGTCAGCAGATGAGAGGCATGTTCATAGCAAGATGACACAATGCAATCACCTTTCCCTGGACACAGGAGGGAATTTAAGTTCTTAATTCATAGTCTGGCATCCTGTTACAGTCAAGTTCTTTGAAATTCAGCATGGCAGAGGACAAGTGAAGGTGTAACTGAGGTCCCAAAGCACATAGTTCAGACTCAGCTGAGCAATTCAGAGATCACTCTTCCAAAAAGTTTTAATGCTGGCACATTCACCAGCCTGAACCAAGCCCAAAGTGTAGCCCTGCCACTTTTCTGGGCAGAGAATCCGATCTGTTTTTCTCAAACAGCATTCAGAGCAAGTTGTAAGATGCCAAAGATAGCAGCAACTCAGTTCCTCCTAATCATCTTTACCTACTACGAGCTAATCCTTCAGTTTGGAAACAGCTGCAAACAAACATAAAATAGAATTAGAACCTCCACCCTGAAGGCAAGCCACTACCACTACCCTAGGGTTGCAGCAGGATGGAACAGCTAAGAGGGCTGTATTTCTGAAGGATCTGTCAAGTGTTATGTCAGTTAAAAACATTTGTTGCATGGGTTTCCACAAAACTGCCTCTCCTGCATCTGCTGATGAGTAATGTCTGCACCTCAAAAATACCATTGCTTTGTGGTGCTCACTCGCACACAATAAGCAGTCCTTGTATAATCCATGAATAATGATATAAACCAGCAGAATAATGCCCCTGAAATCAGTTGTCACCACAGTTAAACTGTTAGCCTATTATCTATCCTCAGGGCTGCCACTGGGCTCTTAACTGCAGCTAAAACTGATTTTCCTAGGGATTATACTTACATAAGGACCAGAGATAGCCTAAATATGGAGTGTTTGTTACCAGGCAGACCAAAAGGTAACTACTGTGGCTCTTCATAGCATCTTTGGCATCTTCATAGCAATCTTAACATCCCTATATGTGAATGCTCCTTGAGTATTTGTAAAGGTCATAACTTTGCAAACAAGTATTTTCCATAAAAGTCATGTAAAAATAGAAATAAAAACACTTCCTAATTAATTTCTTTGGAGCTCCAAACAGATTTAATTGAAATAATCAAAAAAGTTGGTTTCTACTTAGTAGCTTCATTATAAAAAGAACAGCTATAAATAGAAATTGAAGCTGTAACAGAACAAGATGAGTGTTTAATGTTCTTGCAGTGAAATCCCTTCAGACTACTTTAGCAGAGGCCCAAGCCTTCTCTAGGTATTTCTTGAAATCCAAGTTCATTGTTTATTCTTCCTGATGAAAAATTAGACACAGCCAACATTATTACTTTTATTACAAAATGTAAATAAATTCGAAAATTGTAAATCTGTGTACATTTTATTAAAAATTAAGTGAACTGTCAGTCCTTTACGAGCTGGTGTCAGATGTGGCTAAGAAAATAGATGAAAAAGATAAGGAAGAAGATGGCGAATATTCATTATTTGTTATTGATGCTTTCTCTTCATATTTTGGTGGTGATTCAGAAGAAAGGTATACCACTGGTAAAATATCTGAAGGTGAGCTGCTTCCAGAAATTGCATATATGGATTCATAGTCTCTAACAGCAACTGTTCTTTCATCATCAGCAAGCTGTGCTCTATAAAACACAAAACTATGTATTAGCATAATTCATTTATCTACAGTGAGTGAAATTTGACTTGATTTATATAAACATACTTACATGCACACACTTCCTAAAAATCCCTGAAGCAAAGAACTTGCATAAGCATTAAGATTTCATTCTGTGGGCTACATTATGACTATATGAAAAGTCTATAATTTCAGAGGGGAAGGGCAAAAGAAGCTCCCTTCTAACCTTTTAGATCACCAGTCACAGCCTGGCTTATGGGTATTAGCTGCTTCTGGCTGTGCTGTTTCACAATCTCACTAAATCTTCTTCTGATCCCTAGCTCATATCTTCCCTTTTGTAGTGTATCACATACACACAGTCTCTTTCTTTTATAAAAGACAGTTTCTAGAATTAGAACTGCATCCAAAAAAAAAAATCATAATCCCTTGTTGGGAAGGATGGATAAATATAATTATTCATAATAGTATAGCCAGGATGAAAACAATCCTCCGTACTGGCTGGACAATACCCTTACCTACAGATAGGTCCAAAGGTCTAATGGACTGTTCCATCTCAACCCCCAAAATGTATGGTTCATCCCACACCTGTAACCCTCCCCTGAAACATCAGGTGTCTGTGACCCCATTGGCCCAAGTCTTGTTCCAGCCCACCCTGAAGCCCCCTGATAAGGGGTCTCAGAGGGGCCAGATGCCCTCTTGGAACTTCCCCTCTCTTGGATCTTCCCCCCTCTTAGGACCTCCACCCTCTCCTAGAGCACCCTCTTGTCTCTCCCCTCCCCCATCCCTCCAAGCAAGACCTTTCACCATCCCTAATAAACCTTATATCCTAAGAGCAGCCTTCTCTTGTCTCCATTCATCAAAGCCATCCTGGAGCACAGCACTCCCTACAATCCCTAGCCTTTTGAGATTTTACATGAAAGGCAATCAAACTTTTACTAGGCCCTCCAGCAATCCATGGCAGACATAAGGAATTCTATTCCCACTCATAGCTGGAGAAACAGAAGCAACTGGACACGACCAGACTGCAAAGCTCACAGTGACATTGAAGGTGAGCAGCCAAGTATTCCCTGTCCTCCTCTAACCATCACAACTGGATCAAAATTGGTTGAACCCACATTGTTCTGGTACTTTGCTCATCTCACCCTGGAGCTGGCCCTCAGCATATTGCTTCAGCTGCTTCCCAAGAAAAGGGAAGACCTGCTTGCTCGTCATTATTCACTCCCAGAGCTGACTCATACATCTGTATCCATATAAATGCTGAGTGAGGAGTACAAATACAGAGTACAGGCACCTCATCTTCAATGCTGTTACTGGTCTGTGAGCATTTTCAAAGGAGAGAGAAATACTACAAGACAAATGCTGAGCTGCTACGTAACAGATTGCAGGAAGAATGCAAGCAATTCTGGGATAAGACCATGACTCAGTTTACTAACAGCCCTCTCATCCAGCACAGGCTGCAGCACAGTGCTTGCTGACAGAACACTGAGCAATGGATCCAAGAGGCAAATCACCTTTGTCCAGTAGCCACCAACATATGATACGTGTATCCCCTGCCATATTTGGGATCTTCAGCCACGGCACTCTTATGAAGAACAAGGCTATTGCTTCTCTTCTATTAAAGTGCTCAGGAAGCAACTTGCACTAGTCAAGATGCCCTGACTGCTAACAAGTGCTGAGCCATAAGAGAGCAGGATTGAGTGAAACTCCCAGAGGTGGTATCAGCTCAGCAGATCTTTGTGAGGACACTGGGAAACATGGAAGGGCAACAGCTAGAGCATCCCCATCAGAAAACACCACAGGGCAAGGTCAGGCTTGGGTTCTTTATCCAAGCCTGAGGTGCTTTATCCACCCCACTAGATACTATCCCAACAAACTGCCTCTTTGTGTACGTATGTTCACAAAACAAAGAAATCCACACCAGCATGAAACCATACCCACATGATTTTCCAACAGTTCCAGGGATGGTGACTCCACCACTTTTCCTGAGCAGTCTGTTCCAATGCTTTACTAACCTCTCCACAAAAAAATCCTTGCTTAATGACTAAGATAAAACTTTCCTGGCACAGCTTAAGGCCATTTCACCTTGTCCAGCCACTTGTTATGTGTCCCTTGCTTCAGTTCCAGTTTTACTTTGGTCTTCCTCATGGCCTCCCTACAAAACTGTGCTTCATCTCTAAACTCTTCCTAGGTCACCTTTCTTTCCCTTAACTTGACCAGCAAGTTCCAACTCACTCATGCCAGTCTCTTGTCCTCCTTGTCTGATTTCTAACTCCTGGGGATTGCCAGTTCTCACATTCTGTGGAAGAGTTGCTTAAAGATCTGCCAGCTCTCTGGCAGAGAGAAAGAAGCCAGATCTTCAACTCCCCTGTCCCCGAGGGCAGTCTGTCAGGGGATCCCACTGACTAGGTTCCCAAAGGACTGGAAGTCTGCTTTCTTAAAGTTCAAGAGCTGAACTTCCACTCCTGACCCAAGCCCTGTCCCTCATGCACACTCCACCAGTGCATGATCCCTGCAGCCCAGGCTGCCTCCAGTCCTGGTGTCCCAGTTAGCTCGCTTGCATTGGTGACCAACAGATCCTGTAACACATTCCCTCTGGCAGGGGTGTCTGTCACCTGGCTCAGGCAGTTATCCTCCACACATTCCAGCAGTCTCCTGCATTGCCACAGCTCTCCAAGCTGCTTTTCCAACAGCTGCTGGGGTGGCTGAGATCCCCCTGCAGGACACGACCCTCGGGCACAGTGTCTCCTGTGCTGGAGCAGGAAGGTTTGGTCAAGGGGCTCCCCTTGGCCAGGCAGCTGTAGCAGACCCCAGCCAAAGGTTCCCTTTGCTGCCTCGCTCTCTGACTCCTACCCACAGGCTTTCCACCTGCCCATGGATATTCTTCAGGGACAGCTTTTCACATTCAATCTATCTCTTGCTGTAAAGAGCAATCCCTCTGCCTCTTCTTTTCCTGTCTCTTCTGAATAGCCAGCAGCTATTAAACATCACAATCCAGAAATAGGATTCATGCCACAAGATTTCAGGAATGGCAACAAAGTCATAGCCTTCCAGCAGCACAATGGCTTACACTTGCTTTGGCTTGTTGCCCATGCTGTGCAGTTGGTGTAAAGGCACCTTAGCTGAGATGAGATGAGCCACGCTGGCTCCCCAGAGGAACATCCCTTAGTTCATTTGAGATAGTTCTCCAGTGTTTTCCTCCTGGCTTCTGTTACCTTAGAAGCCCTTGGCTCAACTGCCTAAGACTGTAAGTGTTCCAATGTAGCCAGCACACTCCAGATTCAGAAGCAGAGGATGCCTGCAAGCATCTTGCTCTTCTAATCTTTGCCTCCCACTCCATAGTTTGCCAGCAACAAGTCACTTATTGACCCCTCCCCTAGAACAGAGGATTTAGATGCCCTGGTCCCACTGGCCATACTACTGTTGATACAAGCCTGGATGCAACTGGCTGCCTTGGCCACCTGGGCACACTGATGGCTCGTGTTTAGGGGGTGTTGACCACCATTCCTAAGTCCTTTCCTGCCAGACAACTTTCCACACACTCATCATCAACAGCAGTGATGGTGCTTCCAACTGTTACCAAATAGGTTATATTTCAGTAAGAGGTCTTACGCAGCAGTAGGGGAAGATGTTGGAAAATTCTTTTAACTTTAGTGCAATAAGTGTACTATCCCTATATTCATGGCTAATGCTTAGTTTTGTCCAGTGCTTAGTACAAATACAGAGACTATTGTTAATTCTCTGCATCTCGGACTAATAAGTCTTGCTTCAATTAATGCTTCCTTATATCAGTGATTAATATCTAGTAGCTGATAACTTAGTTTTGAGAAAAAGGATTGTATGTCAGAGCAAAGAATAGTAAGAGAAGTACACTATGACCTGATGACTGATTTGAGACACTCTCAAGGAGAAAAGATTCATCAGAAGATCTGGAACCATATACAAACAAGTCCATGGAAATAATTAGCACATGTATATATATCCAAGAAATGTGATGAATATGTATTAGTTTCAGGACTATAGCCAGGTCTGTTAGGTTAGAAAGTATACATGCTGTGTGAATTACCCATGCCTCCAGCACTGCTAATACACTGATGCTGGCTTTGTAACCTAACAAATTGGTTAGAGTTTATTTCCCAGTTTCCAGTGATACAATGTTGCATGCACAGTCTTGTTAATTAAGGTAATTAAATTTTACTCCCACATAACTTTACTGTCTCACAGCTGAAACCCAGGCTGATATAGGACCATTCTAAAGATATTCTACCAAGTAATTTCTGAATCATTAAGGGCCTGAAAATAAGTTAAGGACTCCTGACATATGACACCTATCTCTGACTTCTAGTATGTGACCCTTGCAGTGACCTGTTTTACCCTCAAGTTAGCAGCTTACTGGTGGTAACTCACAGGGGATAAATAACCCTGCAAGTTCTTGTGGCACAGGCAAGTCTTTGGTAAGTTAGCAGTTCCTGCTCCCTGAGTCTGGTGGCGTCAATATTGGGCAATTCTGTTATAATCCATGTATGTAAGGATAAGGTGCAACATCTTGCAGCCTCCCTTATCAGCATGCTGGAGCCTTCTGTGATACCAAGGAATCCTTTCATCTCAAAACAAGACAACAGCAGGAACAAGGTAGACCAGCACAGCAGGTCTCACTTCCTCAAGGCAGAGATAAGGGACACAGGAGAACTGAACACACTAGCAGATAAAGTAACATTCTCAGTGTCTGTGTGTAGGTGTCATAGGGTCCTAAAATTTGTCAGTGGCACCTCCTCTTGGATAATCTTTGGGAGAAATCTACTATGGGGCATTGATTTAAGGACTTCAGAAATTCTTTCCAGTCATAAACATTTAATCCTCATGAAGGACACTCTACAGTTTGTGTTCCCCTAGTATATGACAGTATTTTAATGCCATTTCAAGTAAATTATCTGAAATAAATTGCACTAGAAAACTCTGACATGCTTAGTAGTTAATTCACAGCAATTATGTAAGAACAGGGTCTTGGATACTTAAAGAAACAGCTCAGATTTCTAAAATCAGAAATGAACACTCTTACCCATCACTGAAGATAGAGTGGTATGGTGGTGGATTTTCACTTGTAGGCAAAACACTTGACATAAGACAATGAGTCACAGTTGGTGACATAGGGTCAGCAAAATAAGGAGGCGGTGGGGGTGGAAATACCATCACAGCATCACCTAGGGGAAAGAACACCAGTTACTACTTCTGAACATCTGAGCACCTCTGGTTATATTAACAGCATCCTATAACTTCTATTTGCCTAGCTTTTAAGATAAATGATCCCACATACATTTTAAGGATAGGAAAATATTTAGTTTCCCTCCCAAAAATAAGTCATTCTAAGTTTCTCAATAAGTACTGCAGTGCTATAACAGAAGTCATTAATGGCTCTGAAAATTGATTTTGTGCACTGTGAGTTCCCCTACTAAGTTACTTGTAGTTCAAGGCATGCTAACCACAACTATTGATACACAGTTCACTATTTCAATATATTGTACAGCAAAAACTCTACCAATTTCCACTCTGTAATTTAAGAGTTTAAAACTTGTAATTATATCTCTTACAATTGAGAATGTGGCTACAATTAAAAAAATACAATACATTGGTTACAGATCAGAATCTTCTGTTTAAGGATCAGAGCTCAAGGCTAAAATAGATTTTAAATATAGCCATAGAAGTCTGTGATCTGCAGTGTCAGTTACACAGTTTGAGAACAGAATTGGGTTAGACTCATTTGTGCCAGGTCATGTTGCTTTACACAGTCAGACCTTACTTTTTATTCCAAAGAGAGATTCTGCCTTTTGAGAAAGGTAACTGAATTGACCATACAGAAAGGACATGAGACAAAATAACATTATTCTATTTCTTCTGTCCTGACATGGCAGAACTGACATGCTTAGAGCTTATACTAAGTAATAATAATAATTAAGTAACACCCAGATATAAATTATAAGTGGGAAAACCCCCTCACTAATTCCCAGTGTAAAGTTCCAACGTTTTTTACTCACCTACTGTAACCTGAAAGGATTCAGGGCTCTGAGGATGTTCTTCACTTTCATAGGAGTCTTCATTGATATTTATGTTTTGCTTCTTTTTAACATGAGCTATCACGAAGAAACACAACCCAGTGAGCACAATCAAGGGTCCCAAGATTTGAAGTGACAGGAATCCACAGCCCTGGAGGTCTTTGTCAGAAGTGCCAGTGTGGTTGAGCTGTATCATATGCCAGACAGGGCTGCAACCAGGTACCCAAATGCCCAGGACACTAATTAACATTCCACTAGTTAAAAACAGGAATCCAAATATGAGAAACTGGGCAAACTGACAGTTCCCACGACAAAAAACAAGGCTGTACACCTGCTCATTTTGCAATTGTCTTTGTCTTATATACATCCTGGCCCTTGATCGTGCCAGTAAAACACAAACCAGTCCAGCTACAGCCAGCACTGGCCCAGCAGCCTTGAGGACCTCGTTACAGTCACTGAAGCTTCCAGATGGACACGACTGGAGAATAAAGACTGAAAGAAAAAATCCAGCACAGAGCAACACAGCTCCAAAAACAAAAAGGAAAAAAATAAGTTTCCCATGTTGTCCATTACTTCCTTCACCTCCTGGTGCAGGGACAGCCACCGGATACATTGCAACAGAATCTCCTCAAGCAGATGAGTTGTTAGAATTAAACGGCAGCAAACTACAGTAGATCTGTGAACATGAAAATATAAAAACTAAAAGAAGAAAACAACCCAGCAAGATTATCTACATTATATTCCTTACTTGCAAATTTGCTATTCAGCCTTTATTGTGTATGCTCCTGTATTTTCTATTTTGCAGTACCTCCACTATGGGTTACAAGGCCTACTCAAGTTTGCTTGATGTTAAATATCAATGGAAAGACAGAACTTGCTTTACAGTTTGACTTAAACATACTGTAACTGCTGTTGCACAGCTAAATTAATTGTTTCTTTAGAGAAATAGTATTATGATTAATGGGATCTTATTTTGAAAGAATGAGTATTTGGAACAAGGACAGGTTAGCTTTCCCTGTGAAAAGAGAAAGCTGCAGGAAATTTTGGTGCTGAACTGCAGGAAGTGACAGCTTGTGAGAAAGAGCATGTTAATGCAAATGAGCAATGACTACTGGACTTCTTAACCAAGTAAATCTTCTATTACATACCTTCTCAAAGCATATAAATCTTGTTTCTCTTTCCACAGGCAGTAAAGACCTCTCTGCTTCTCTCTTTCAATAAGCTTCCTGTCCCATGCTGCTGCAAAAGCAAATATTGAGATTATTTCTGGTTCTCTTCTGAAATAATAAAACAAAAAAAGAAAATTGAAAAAAACATTCTAAAGACCAGTTCAAGTCTGATTTAATAGTGAGAGCTGGTAAGCATAGTGCTGCCACATTTCCTTTCAACTCCCCCTACTTCTGAGAACTTTGCCTTTGCTCAAAACAACTTTAAAAAGAAATTAATGAAGGTGACTCCCAGAAGGCTTCTGAGCCCACAAGACTCTAGATTCAGAAGTAAAATAGAAGAAAACAAAACAGTTTTGAGGCCAATAACAGCCCCTATGGTAATACAGATAACAAATCAGCCAGATGTGGATTTACTGGGGCAAGGGAAGCCTAACTGAGAGTTAGGACAGAGTTCCAGTCAGTGAGCCCTAGTACAAAAGAAATAAACTCTGCTGTTACCTACAAGGAAGTTTCTGCTGCTCTGACACTGTGGCCTGCAGAGCAAGATGGACACCAGCCACCAGATGGTGACTACCAGCCACAGAAATCTTGGCTAATATCCATTAAAAGCCAACCTGAAATGCAGGGAAAGTTCAGACTATGGAAAACAAGTCTCACGGATAGACCACAAGAAAGCTGTTCCCTACCAAGTGCAGGAAGTACTTAGGTATGCTTGTGCTGCGGTGTTCTGACACTGCCCTCTTCCCCTCATCAGCAGTCTCTCATGACAGACAATTCTGTAGGGACTGGTGGAGTTTGTCACAGATGGAAGCATGGAATCTGCTTTAGTTACTGCTGTTTGTTAGTTAACCTTCAGCCTTGTCACTACCAGCTTCTACTGTTCTGCTACTAATTCAGATGACTTGAAGATAAAACATCAAATTAGCTTGGATCCTCCTTACATATGACTCTGGTACACTTACTCCACAAGAGAAACAAGGTATTTTGTGATTTCTGTAAGCAAACTGCTGAACATGTGTCAGCCACAACAAGGTTTGTGTCACTCCCCAGTAAATGCAGTGCCCACCAGGATGAAAACAAAACACAATCACAGAACCCACCAGTGACTCAAACACATAATTATTTACCTGCAATGCAAGACAATCTATTGAGTCACTACTCAGCCACTTTTAAGAGTAGAATCCAATTAAAGCACTGGCTGAGCAGATACATGAATGATGAAATTATTACACATTCTACTGCTGAACATCAAAGCAGACCCCCCAAGAGCACAGGAGAAAGCAGAGTACATCATGCAGGTGAAAGGCTCAATAAGCACAAGATCTGAGGCAAGGAAACACAGCAAGAAGGCCACTGAAAGAAGCAACCAAGTCTCTTAGCTGGCCATCTTCAACAGCAAAACTGAGGGACCACCCCTTAATGCATCCCATTACTGTGCGCAGTTAACTTGTAAACTATGACTGCTAAGTGCTTCTTCAGGTTTGTGAATTCAGTCTACTGAAAACCCTCTACTAAGATCAGTTTGAAAAACTGCTAACTGAAGGTCCCTTGGTAGAAAAGTCAGAATCACTCTGGGGAGGGGAGGGGGGGAAGTTAAAAAGAGCACTAAAGATAGGACAGCATGTCACAGACAAAAAAAAAAAAAAAAAAAAACCACCAAAAAAAAAAAAAAACAAAAAAAAACCAAACACACACACAAAAAAAAAAACCAAAACCACAAACAAACAAGAAAAATCCCTAAAAAAGTTAACCTCTCCTGGCTGATTTCACTCTGAAGACCTTTAGCCCAGCACACTTTCAATATTGCATGAGCTGTAGTCACTCTGAAGGCTCCACTTCTGGGCAGAAAAACATAGTCTGGGATGATTTCAGTGGTCTTTACTAAGTAAATAAAATTTGTTCTGGTAACTGCATATGCCCCATTCTCATAAATTATCTGAGCTGGCTCAGGTTTCCTGATTTACTAAATGCACATAGCTGAGTAAAACACTTCTGAAACAAACACACACACACACACATACATAAATCCCAGCAAAGCCTGGTTTCAGACACAACCATCTTGAGATACTTTTCTGCTGAGGCACATTAACCTTTATAACACCA